AATGGCTCTGTGGTCTTGTTGAGGTTCTGACATTAATTTGAGGCCCAAATGTGAAGGTCTTAGGATGCCTATTAAAAGCTGCCATCCGTTTTAAGCAACATACCTACGACCACCCAGAGAGGGAGTGATGGGGGCGCAGTTCGGGTTTGAGCTGCCTCCTCTTCCTCCTGTTGTTGACGTTGAGCCGTGAACCACTGGTGACCCCTGATGGGATCGAAGATGTGGAATTAATTTGAGGGCTCTGGTTGTGAGATGAAACGCATCAAGGCGTGGAGCAGGACTCCTGTCCCCTTGGCTGCCAGTCACCCTGAGCGCCGAGGGTCTGCTGGACTCGCCGTCACCTCCAGCTCGCCTTCCTGTGGACTTGTCTCTGACCTGGGAATGGGCGGAGTTCCTCCCTTCCTCCCCTCCCTTTGTGACAGAAGTCTCTTCCTCTTGCAGAGAACGCACCTTTGAAAACAGGTAGTAAAGCCAGACGTGCGAGTCAGTCCGTAAACTCCAGCGTGACGAGGAGCCGGAGCTCTTGTCCTAGAGAGTGCCAGTGCGTTTACACATACAAATTATACTCATCCTTCTGTATACACTTAACGCTGCTGCTTCTGCTTTCCAATGCATTTATAATTTCTCCCTCTTCCTTCACATGTTGTTCTCAGGGTTGTGGGGGGACACGGTGAGCCCACCCACAGAGCGTTGCGAACAGCGGCCGATGCGCAGTGAACCCCACCACCTCCATTGTCCTCAGCAGGGAGCTGTCCTGTCCCTCCAGGAACTTGTCGGCGTGCCTGTTGTTGCTCATCTTTGACTCAGTTCTGTTGTTTGAGATCATGTCACCTAATTCCAGCATCAACACTACAGTTTTTCCTCTTCCTACTCGATGTCCTAATCCAGCTCTGGACTATCCAAGTAATTGCATAAGCGGTCACACCCTCATGGTGGTGATACTGTCCAAACAGCTGCTGGCCACCAGGCAGCGTCACAGCCGTCACTGCTGTTGTTTATTCATCAGCGGGCATGCGAGAGCTAACCGTGGGCGAGGGGCTCACGGGGCACCCGTGAAAGTTGGAGAGGGTTGTGGATACTTTGTTTCACCCTGTCTCTGGTTGGAATGCAGACCCCGAGTTGATACGCACGCCAGTAACCATGGGCAGGATGGGCCCTCGATCAATGCTTGAGTAGGGGTCAAACCTAGATTGGGTTGGAATATGGAGTTTAAAAGCTGGATGGCAACTTCTTCATTTAAAAAAGATCTTCATTGCTAGCAGGTAGCATCGTTTATTTCTTATCTCCAGTTCTACCATGGGAAGAAAAGCATCAGAGCTTCAGCAGGAAGGTACAGGGACATGCAGACACAGACAGAGACGCCCCCCACCCCCTGCCACGTCCCAGAAGCCAGAGAAGGCGATTCTGCTCACCTGTCCTCCTGGAAGGTGTCACCTGAAGGGGGTCTGAGATGCCACACAAAGCAAGACTCCGGGCTCTTCTTCCCAGTAACTGTGCCTGAGTGTCCAGGTGGGTCCATGCAGACTGACCCCCCAGCCTTCCTGCAGGCTGCATCCTGGCCAGCTCCCTAATTCCAGACTCAATCCGAAGAATGCGCGTCTTTGGGACTCTTTTCTTGAACCAGCTGACGTGCCCAAACCATAGGATTCCATCTCGTCCTGCAAAGAGAGAGGGGATGGAGAAGTGCCAGGGTCAGAAGAGAGGCGTTTGAAGTGAGCACTCTCCTCTGACACTCAGCTGTGAGCGAGAACATAGCACCTCGGGCCTGTTTTCTTACGTCAAATGGGACTTAAGCCAAGTTCAGGGCATTTTCCTGCCTTTGGAGAGTAGAATTCTTTTAGAAATGAGGGCTTAGTGATTCTTGCACGCCAGTGAAATCTTGAGGCGCCCTAAAATCTGAATACCCCAATCTGCCGCCATGCAGGTTGGGCTTCAAGCACGGAGCACATGTGACGTGGGAAGGGACCAGAAGCCGGCGCACTGGGAGCCCCCTAGCTCCCTCGTGTCGTGCCAGGCGTGCACAGCTCCCCTGTGCCTTCCCGGCTCTGTGTCACCGGCAGCAGAGAGCCCGGCCACCACTGACCTCCCTGACCTCGCAGCGCCCAGCAGGAGGGCCATGGGAGCTGGACAGGGCTCCCCATGTGGCGTGCGGCTCGGTCACCGGGTCCCTGCTTCCCGGGTGTGAGGCCGCCCCTCCATGTTCACACCAGTGCCCTGGAAGGAAGCTGCCTGCGGGTGGGAGGGACAGCCCCGCCCTGGACACCGCGTGCTGGGGCGTCGTGTGTCTCCGTCGACACGTCCCAGTTGGCCTCGCCGCTGTGTCAGACACAGTTCCGTGTCCCGGGAGCATTGCACCCACCTTTGCCCTGGTTTGGGTGAAGGACAGGTTTCCATCCAAACAGACCTGGCATGCAGTTCGGCACCGGATCATTCTTTCTGCAAGCCCAGAGAGGGAGGGGTCCGGGCCACCACGAACAGGCCACAGCTCCGGGGACGTCACACGGGCTTGCTGACACACTGACGTTCTGGAAGCTTCCTTCACAGGCGGTCAGCAGAGTCCCTGGGACGGCCCACGGTTACCTGAAAGCAAACCTGATGTGATTTTATGTACCCAGGGCTCTTCGCTGTCACGTTACAAAGCGAGTTATTTTCCCAGCCACCAGCAGCCCCCCTGCCACACTGAAAAAGACAAAGGGCCCAGCATCCCAATGTTGGTCTCAGGAACAGGCAGATTGACCCTGGTGTCCCCTTTCTGCGGATCCCCGCCAATGTCTGGACGGGGTTGTCGCATGTCTCTGTCTGTGCACTGCCCCACGGTGGCCGGGGGCTTCCCTGGACACGACAGAGTTGCCCACAGGGTTTGCATGTCAGTGGTAGGTGAGTCGCTTGGCTCCCCAGGAAGACGGGGACGTGGGATTTGAAGGAGCGTGGGCCACGGAGCCCGTAGCGGTTGGGGTTCCGGGCCGGTCGTGGGGAAGCTGAAGGACCTCCAGGATGGGGGCGCTGCCCGGCGACGGTCACACCCCACGCGCTCAGGGACGAGCGGGCGAGGTTGGAGGAGAGGGCAGGGCAGGGAATAAATTTTATTTTATTGTAGAAATGGAAATTTGTGTCATGGCTTTAAAAATCTGGTTTTATGTGTGTGTTTAATGTCATTCATTTTAAATGTAGCATCGTAAATCCTGGCCCCAGAATAAAAGCTGTTTAATTACATCTCACCCATGAATAGTACTCTGATGCTGATAGAGAAAGAGTTAAAAAGGAGAACCACAGAGTAAATCAGAGGTTCAGATCTTAAGCACAAGCATAAAAAATCAATTTAAGATGAATTTTACTTCCATAAAAATTCTTCAAATATCCTTTTAAGGGTGGGAAACGCTAGGAAACACAGCTCACATTTCAATTCCCTTAGCAGTGGAGGACACGGCCACCAGCGTGGGCAGTGCCTTGGGGTGCTCGGGCACACCCTGTGTCCCTGGGGGTGGCTGAGGAAGGAGAGGTGACTGGAAGCCCCGCCTCTCGGACAAAGGTGCCCATCTCCCATCGTATCCACCCCCACCCGAGGAACCCGGACTGGGTGGGTGATGGGACAGTGGACCCCACAAGCCCTGAAGACCAGCCGAGGCCTGGGAAGCACTGGTCTTTATGGCCATCCTTGACCCCAGCCCCATTTGGGTTCTGCAGGCAGTGCAGGCCACGGTGGGTCAGTGTGGGGGTCTCAAGGGGGTCCTGATTTTCCGGAGGGAAGTCCCCCCTGGGTTGGAGGCAGTGACACTGGTGCATTTGCTCTGATGGCCTCCCTGTGCTGGGCGGCGCAGCCACGTGACGGCAGCCTGTCCCCAAGGCCGTGCGCACGAGGAGAGACCGCCACAGAGGAAGGCTCAGCACACCTGCCCTCAGGACATGGGAAGGGAGGCGGGGGCTTCGGGAGGAGCTGCTTGTACTGCACGTGGGTGGCTTTTCTGCCTCCTCCTAATGTCTCAGAAGCTCTGGTGTCCGGAGAGGAGACCAGGAGCCTCTGGCCGCCAGGCCTGGAAAGCCGCGAGGCTTTGCGCCGTGTGTCCAGGACCTTGGGGCAGGAAAGAGACCAGACTTGTTTTCTCGGTCCTGCGGCACCCAGGTCCAGAAAGTCAGCCTCCGCCGGGAAGTCAGCTCCAGGAGGGTGGCCGCCAGATCCCACGGACGGAGGGTTAGCACCCAACTAGGAGGAACAAGACCATCAGCAGTGAGTCGGAAATATGTAGATTTAAACTTGAGATAAAAAGACTGGCAACTGTAATGAACAGTAAGATTTAGAACAGGGACAAATAGAAACCCAGTGCATGAAGGTCACGGTTCTGTGGCGGAAAGGACAGACCCCGGGAAGGAGCTGCACAGGGACTAGATGCTGTCGAGTGAGAATCTGCGCACCGGGGCAGCCTGCCAGGGAATCCCCGGATGAGCTCACAGTGACCGAAACCAGACTGTGCCCTTCTGTCGCTGGGGGGCAGGGCGCGTGGAGCAGTGTAACTACCTTAATAGCATTTCTGGAAAACACTTCTGATGATGAGCACTCGGTGACATGACGATGACCATAGAGGCAAATACCTGCTCATCCTGCAAAGGGGCAGGCTCACGGCCCGGCAGATTTCTTCCGTGCTCGTCATCACCGTCCTGCGAGCCTGCTTCTGGCTTGGCGACAGGTGTTCTGAGCCCCAAACGAAGTGCTGTGTACCGGGATGTCCCTTCCTAGCAATCGCCCCTTGTTTTCAAAGACGTCATGTTTTTTAAAGCTAACGGTGCACACGTGGGTGAGACAACCCCCGGGCGTCTCCGCCTCGCCCCCCTCCAGCCCGCCTTCCCGCTGTGGCCATGCCGGCCACACAGCTAGCTGAGACACGCGTGCTCATGAAACAGCTGCAGACTTGACCCATTTTGGCACAGCAGTGTTTTCTGTGTGCTTTGCAGATGTGTGGAGCGGGACCCCGAGCCTGATTCATCTCCTGTTATCTCTGTTGCAGCCCCGCCGAGGCCCCCTGTCCCGCTGAGCCGCCCGGCAGCCCGGAGGAAACGGTGGAGCCCCTGATGGAGTGCGCGGCCTGGCTGGACGCCTATTTCCACGAGCCCTCAGCCCTCCAGGAGCTCCCCGTGCCTGCTCTTCACCACCCCGTCTTCCTGCAAGGTCAGAACCGGCCGCCACGGGGCTTCCTTCAGGGAGCTGCCGGATTAGCTGTCACTTACATCACAGCTCGTTTTATTGACTGTACCAGCGCGGTATTTTTACATCATCTAAACAGAGGCAGCGTGTGGCCACACTGCAAGGACACGAGTGCGTGATCCCCACCCGTTCCAAAAGGCTGTGTTAGTCTTGGCACGCGGTCACGTCGCTCTTGGCAGAGGCAGTAAAAACGAGGCGTGCAGACCAGCTCTGAACTCGCGCTGGCTGCAAGGTCTAAGCAGGAACACATCTGAATGGCAGTAAATTTTTCAATAAGCTTATTGTGAACTTCAACTGTCTGCCTGCCCACGGCACAGAAAACGAGGCTTGTGCGTGGACAGCTAGCCACGTCCGTGAACGCCGTTGCTGACACATATCAGAACGGGTAGCGGCGTGTGTCTGTCTTCTTGGTTGAGTTCTCAGCCTAATTCCTCAGATGTACCCTAGTTAGATGTGATGTTCTTACGGGGCGGAGTGAGCGCGCCTCCGTCGAGTTTGCTGGAGGCACGTGAAGTCTGATAACCTGAGAACATTTTCCCAGGCAGTGCTTTTGAAGCTTTTGTTTGGATTCTTACTTGCGGCAGCTGAAATCGTTCTAGCTATGTACCAGAGATTTATTCTGCACAGGGATTTGTGTAGTCGTTTTACCATAAGTAAACATTTATACAGATATATGTGTGTGAATGCACGCATACGTGTGCTTAAATGAAGGGGGAAAAAATCACCCTGAGGTTTTAGGTAAGGTAAATTTTAAGCAATCGTGAACTTGAAAATGGAATCTACAAAGTAAGTTTAATGGTATTCTAATTGTTGCTATGATTTTCAGCAAAAACGAAGTGGGAAATGGAGCAGTGTTTTCGGGGGTGGGGGTAGAGAAACTGAAAAGCTGAGCTGACGGTGAGCTGACTGAACAGAGAACCTGGGGCGTTTTGCACACAGCGAGCTGAAACTGGGAAGCTTTGAGAAACAGGTGCCTGTCAGCCCCTTGTGTTGTCTGAGACTGTTTCGGGGGGCTCCAGAGATCAAACGGGTCGCTAGGGTGGGGCGGGAGCTGGACGGCACTCTGCACTTGTCCTGAACCCGCCACTGTCTGCAGTTGGCGCCCTCAAGGGGCCACAGTGATGCTGGGGCTGCTAGGTGACCCCTGCCCATGCTCACCCTGCTGCTCGGTCCCGTCTCCCCAGCACCATGAGTTCACAGCTGATGGAGGGTGGGGATGACCGTACCCCGGTCCACCTCCCACGCGTGGGGACAGGGTGGGGGTCATGCTGTGCGCACTGAGGGACTCAGAGATGCAGCTGGGAACCTGGGAGCCATGCACCGTGAATTCTTCTCTCTCCAGTCACCATCCATGACTTCCGCTCTGCCGACGGGAGCGGGCAGAACTGTCCAAGGGCTTTCCTGCCGTCGAGGCGGCGCAATAAGGGAGCAGACCTTTAAGGTTTTGAAATTTTCAGAACAGAAGAATTACAAAAGCAGGGCGGGGGTTTCATGTAATCCAAGGGGGTGGGCGAGGCAGTGGGCCTGTCCAGTTCTGAAGTCCTGTCCTCAGCTCTTGAAGAGGATCGGGACCAGCCACTCTTACCCTGTGCCCCCGGCCAGCAGTTCATGGTCATGGTCATGGTCACGGTAGGTTGGTGACCAGGACCAGCTGGAAAATGCCACTGGGGTGAGGAGGAAGGTCACCCAGTCACCCCAGTAGTCTGTACCTGTTGGGCAAGCCCTGCAGGGCTGGCGGGCACTTCTGAGGGGGTCGAGGTCCCCCTCTAGCTGGTGTAGGGGGCAGTGGCCAGCACCTGCATGTGACAGTTAGTGGCTGCAGACCCAGGCTTTCCCACACTGCTCAGTCACTCCCGGGCAGGGACCAGGTGTGGCGATTTTATGGTTTAAGGAGGGAGGTGGCCAACACAGTTAATTGGCACCAACCCATGCTGTGCTACACCCCTTGTGTCCAGCCACCGTGGGCTTTGCTTTGCTTTGCTTTGCTTCTGCCGCATGTCTGGGAGCCAGCGACGTCGTGGGGAGAGGGCAGGTCCGCACAGGGCGGTCCCCGGACGACCGGGGCTCTGGAAGCTGTGGGCTACCGCACAGAAGTGAACCTTCCGTGTAACCTGGGGGATGGGTCCTCTTTAAATGGGGAGTAAGTTTCCCTGATGAGTTCCCTCGTTTCCTTGACATATTCTGCTTTCTGTGCATCTTTGTTTTTGAGAGTGTCGAGCATACTTTTGTGGATCGTTTTTCCCCTCATATTCGTGCTTCTGCGATTAGACCAGGTCTGCCTCTTTCGACTTGTTAACTGCTGATTCTTCTTGAAGAAGTGGCTGGTATCACTCGTGACCTCTGCTCCAGGCCCCTGCCCCTCGGCCACCGTGTGGCCTGTCCTCGGCTGGGCCAGCCGCCTCCCCTCCACAGGGTCCTCTGGGATGAGCACCGAGACTGCTGGCCCCGTTTCGAAGGATCCGCAGAGACACGAGCTAAGGGAGCCCGATGGAGCTGCCGCTCGCCAGGTTAGATCCCAGATGCTGGAGATTTCGCGTGGCTGCATTTCTGCTCCTAGAGAACTTCCGGAGTCCGATGAGCAACAAGTTAACTCCGGAGATGCCTCCCAGGGAGCCACTCAGCCGCCTGCAGCTGCCTCGCCTGGGCCAGGACAGGTGGGGTCTGTGGGGCCGAGGACGGGACAGGTGCTGGTGGAGGAGTTAAAACGAGCCGTGAGCTGTTGCGGGCAGCCAACTTCTCCGGAGATGGTTGTTTCAGTGGTAGGGCATTTTCTTAAAAAAAGAGTGTTCTTTTTGTGTTTTTGGGGGGTTTTGGCTTTTGCTTTCTGCTAGTCTGGTGTATTGAAAGGGGGACATAATCGTTTTCTGGCCGTAGTGGCTTAGGGGGAGCTGCCTGGAGCCCAGCGGCGCCTGTCGGGGAGGTCAGGACCTCCCTAGAAGCGTCTTTCAGAGGGCAGCTTTGTTTACTTGGAATTCATTTCTCTCCAACAAATAGTTATTTAATGAAGCCATTATTCTTGAAATAAATCTTGACTTGATGTTTCTTAATGAAATAGCATTTAAACTTCTTTTCTGTTAACACTTCCTAACGTCTTTACGTTTGGTCATAAATTAATTTAGCTTCTCTGTATAATATGCATCTAGAGTAACCTTGGAGAGGTCAGGGGCAAAAGCAGCTAGAATCATAAAAGTAGCACTTTGCCAAAGGCCGTATTTCACCGTGAACTCAAGGAAGGCAGACCTCTGGGCAACCAGGACCGGCCTCAGGTTCAGAATGTGTGTGGACACTTTGTCCTGAGCCCTCTGCCCACAGAGACCCTCCTAGCGGGCGAGTCTGGACAGGCTACGGTGGCCAGGGAGACAGGTGGCCCGGCCGATAATTCTGGGCCTTTCTTGCAGCCTGGGCTGGGCTCCCCCAGCGCCCTCCGAGCCCCTCCCCAGGGAGGGCCTGGCCCTGTGCTGTGGACACCCCCGGGTGGCCCCGGCAGAAATGCCGGGGGACCTCAGCGGGTCCTTCCGGTGCTGTCTCACACATGATGGTTTTCAACAGATGAGTTCTGAGTTTTCTTTTTAAAGTGACTTCAATGTTCCCTCTTAAATGAAATATTTAACACTTTAATAATTCCTTCGTCACAGCTATTAGCTTGTAGCTATGAAATCAGTTGCATGACAGTCGTAAAATCTGCATTTTTTAAAAACCTGCTGGCTAAAAGTAAGTTTTATGTAACTTCTAGAACAGAGCCTCACAAAGGATTCTCGTGTGTGGGGGGGGCTTGTCGAACCCCTTTCCAAAGGGCCTCTCCCAAAAGCCCCATCGGAGACTTCCAGAAAACTGTGCCAGGGGGCTCAGCTGACCCCACGGGTCCTGGCCGGTTCCCACGGCCCACTGCCTTCCAGGGAGGCTGTGTGAGTCCTGGGGCTGGGGGCTGTGGCGAGGGAGGGAGTCGCCGGTACCTCGGTCCTCACCAGAGACTGCCCTAGACGCAGCTTGGAGAGCCGAGCAGGGCGATCCTCCAGCCCCTGCCCACCCCCAGCTCCTCTGCCCCTGGCTGTCACGCCCAGGCAGCAGCCAGACCCCGGCAGATGAGACCGAGGTCTCCCGGGCACTGAGCCCCTGCGGTCCATGTCCGGGGCCTATTGGCCCCTCATGCTGAGTAGCGGATCCAGCCCTAGTTTGTCTCCCGAGGGCCCTGCGGCGGGCGGAGCGCGTTCTCTCTGTCTCCCCGCAGCTCCACAGCAGAAGCAGCCTCTGGCTTCCAGGCACTTTGTGCTGACATTTTTCCCGAAACTTAAAACATGATCCGCGTAAACAGGAGGGGGGTTACATTCGCTGTCCCCGCATTTCAAATGGGGACATAGGCACCGTTGGCCTTGCTGAGGTCTCACTGCTGGGCTCAAGGTGTGGAGCCCCTCCGGCTGCCCGGTCGTGACGAGAATCAGCTGCCGACACTGCACGGAACCGGGCGGGAGGGAAACGCTGCTTTCGGCCCTGGGCTGCCGCGCGCCTCTGCAGGGACAGCACACGCGGGACCTGGTCCCGAGGCCTTCCGAGGCGGGAACTGGGCAAGGCGAGACCGAAAAGGCCAGATCCAAAGCCCAAGCATAGACGGCAGGCCAGGAAGCCCAAAGTGACGGTCAGACGTCTCGAATGAGAGCAGGAGGCCAGTGGCAGGAGCAGCCCGGGGCCCGCGTCATGGGCAGCGCAACCCGCGTGTTCTTGTGGTTAGAGCGCGAGAGAGGAGACGGGTGGGGATGGTGGGGAACGAGAGGAGGGCAGAAATCACTGGACACGAACTGTCCACAGGGTGCAGAGCGAGCCCGGGAGGCGACCGAGGTGAGGAGCGAGTCCTTCATCAGGGACGTTTCGAGTCCGTCCCAGGATCCCTCCCCGTGGAACCGGACCAGCTCCGGGCCGTCACTCACCCCTGTCCAGAGCCATTCGGAGGAGGACACTGCCTTCCTCCC